AATTATGACGTTTGACAATGAATTATTATCGCTTACTTTTTTTTGTTACTGTCTAAACTAAGTGGGGCAGCTACGGCTAAAGCTATCGGCGCCATCTCGGCGTTGAGACACGTTTAGCAGTGTTAGCTGTTAGTGTGTTAACTCGGAGACTGGGGTCAGTGGAGCCTGTAGGAACCTTTTACACAGAGAGTAGACCCACCAGCTTTCCACAGTCTACTTACTTATCACATCTTGTTAGACAACAGGGTCATTAGTGCTTTAAATAGTACATAGTTGAATGTTTCATTGCTGTTTGCAGTTGATTGTTCTCTGATAACGCATAACAAGGTTGATGTTAAATAGCGAGTTTATTGAAATGGTTTTGTCTATTTCAGCAGCATTATAGATATACTTTCTCTGGTGTCTTCGGTAAAGCTAAAACAAGAATACATTTACATCCTTGGTTCTTTCAGCATTAATTGGAAAACTTTGAGATTTGCTGTGCGCCTCCCAAGCCATTCTCTTTTATCCCACCTGTCAGGTATAGATGGCAATACTTTAAACAAAGTTAAATTTGTTATACCTGAAGAGAACCAATCCTGACCTAGAATGGGTGAATGAATAATTAGTTGGTAGCCAATGCCTAAGCAACTCACATAGGCCCTGGCAGACTCAATAAGTCCATCTAGGAACAGCTGCAGGAAACACCTCTTCAGTTTAGATTTAAAACATGTGCATGCTCTTTCAGGTTGATGAGGATTATGGTGTGGACTGGACAGGACAACATAATCGCCGCCCATCAAATGAGATCACCATTCCTGAGATTCAGCTCCCAGATGCACTGAATGAACAAGACCCTGCTGTGCTACCAATACTTCAAAATCACTTGTAGAAAGACATTATTACATTTAATCAGTTTCTATGTCAGGAGGATTTTTTTTTTTTTAAATTTCTACAGCTTTGTAGCTAATACTGACTCAAAACAGCATAACCAATTTCATTTTCAACAAAACAGTGAGTGGCTATAAAACAGGATTTGTTTTATACAGCTGTCACTTTAATGATATTCATTTCTTGGTTGGATATACAGTACATGTCAACTCTGAGCAGATTTAATACAATGAACACAGTACAGTAGTGTAACATCTTAATTCAAATAATTTTTTCTAGAATTTTTTTGTATCAGTAGCGAGTATAAACAAAACATATTGTGTAATTTATAATGTACAGTGAACAACTGATTTTGATATCTGAACTCTTCATCAGTTTATATTAAAAAAGCCATAAATGCACACCTGTACTCTGTATTTTTCACTGTCAAGTGTATTAAAAAGAACTAGAACTCACTAGATTGTCCGTTTCTTTGAACACCGAGTACAGTAATGTGATGCAAGAAAGAAGAAATGGTCTAATTTTACCATGTGGTTATGGAATCAATCGTAAACCAGACCAAAACCTGAGTCAGTAGAGTTGAGACACACCTGAATGTCCATTAGAAATGACTCATAGGTACAGTAGTGTGCAGGAAGACGTAGTACTTCAAAACCGGTGGAAGACTTTGGAAGATTGCTGTTGACCACTTCCACAGTCATTTCTCGGCAAGACTTCCCATCCTGTCCAAAACTTGATGAGGGCTTTTTGTTGTGCACAAGATGCTGCAACAGAAGATTGTTTTAAACTATAATGACATCCTATATTCATTATTTTGAATCTTTTATGGAGAAATACCATAAAAGATGACCACTTACATACAGGGCACCAGACATTTTTGCCCCACTCAAATTGCTGTTGTAGCTTTTATAGATATTTTTATGTTAACAAAGCTAAAAGTAGTCTACATACAATTCTAGTGCAACTGATAATGCCACCACTCTTATGTATTGCATGGAGCAAATAACAAAACAAAATTATACTATAGCGTAGAGCTGGGCGATAGAACGATAACGATATGTATTGCGAAATAACTTTCTCAATAGAAAAATTAAACTATTGCGATAGACCTCACCGCTCTTGTCCTTTTTATAAAAAAATAAAAATAAATATCGTGATATGAAAAAATCTCATATCGCCCAGCTCTACTATAGTGTACTTTGTTAATGACCCAAGATCACTGGACTGTATGTAATTTACCAAAGTATAATCAGAGAAAACCAATGGCAAAATACCTATCGCAGCAGACTTACCATTTTCAATGAAGGACCGAAGGTAACCTGCCACTCTGCATTTATCCTCGAGAGCATTCCTCTTCTTCCTCATCTTCATCTTCTGTGGCAGGCCACAGTCATTTTATAGCTTTACTTATCTTGTAGTCTTAAGAGCATCAGCAACATTAGGTGTATTTTTATTAAATGTAACCCAGCTGTTCAACTAACCTACGCATACAAAACAGTATATTGGTGTTTTGTGTCAACAATTAATGTTCATCCTTCATAAATTAACCAAATAGCTTTACTATTCAGATGTTAAAAGATGTGACCTGACCTTACCTCACAACAGGGAGCAGTCTCTGATTCCCTTGGTAAGAAAGGAGGAATGATGTCTGATCTTTCTGTCAGAAGCGGCCATACCATGGTTTCCTTAAGCCCTTTCCTCAGCTGCTTGACTTGACGACTTGTTTGTGTTATGACCTACAACGGTGAGACCAAACCAAAACTGAAGTTGGAGTCTGTAAAGTGACACACACTTTAAATGTTAAATATTTAAAGAACATCCACTGTACTAGTAAAAGCATTTTCAAATTATACCCACTTACAAAATCACTACGTTGAACTAAAATTGCTTTCTTTTCTTTCACATAGATTACTTGTCTTCCATATTAGCACAGAAGATAAGCCACTTTAAAACAGTCATGAATAACTATTACCTACAACAATGTAAATAGTAATACAGACATTAACCCAGAAGACAATTATTTTCTCTTACCTAATTTATAGAATTCTTTGCTATGATAAAAAACAGTATTAAAAAAAATCTGTGACTAAACTGATTAAAAAGCTCATTTTTGCCAGACAGACTAACCAAGCAATAATAACATATCGTTACTTACCCTGAACAGCGTTTCGTGGAGTGGAGCTAGCTGTGATAGCGTTAGCATTTGCTAACGTTAACACTGTGCGGTTGTGATGAGAACTTGGACCAGGGACCACTTCATCTCCAGTACACTGCTGCAATACGCAGACTGAGGTGAAGACGTTCAATCTAAGCGGTTAGCAAGTTCTCTGAGTAACTCAGAAACGGACTTGTTTCCTGCAGCCATGCCCTTCACAAGAATTGATACACCTGTAACGTTATTCGCGCCCAGTGTTTTGCATTTGTCGGTGCCTTAAGTTTATTTTGAGCTGCATACTGCCGCCAGCTGCATAGGAGATGCATTGCACCATTAAACCTAAATCGACAATTCATGTGCTATTACTTATGTCTGAGTAAAGGAGCAACCAATCACACAACTGGCTCCGCCCTGTCTTTCTTGATTGACAGACAAAGTCATTCTGCTGAAAAGTCGCATTATGAAATAAATAGACCATCGGGAAAAACGGGATTTTGAAATAAAGACTGACTTTGAAAAAAGGTCATTTTGGACTAAAAACGGCTGGAAATAAATAAAATGCCTCAGGAATAATCTCTGTTATTGTGAAAAATAATGACCATGAAATAATATTTCACAATAATAAGAAAATTTATATAGCAGAATGTAATATGTTTCACAATAATGAGCATTGTTTTCAAAATGTGTTCCATTATTTCACAATATCATTCTCACATTACATATCTGTGTCTTATTTATTCACATAGTTATTTATTTCATCTTGACCTATTTATTTATTTAATTTTGAACACTTTGGAGTTCCATACCCCTCATGTTCTTCTTGTGCCCACCACTAGAAGCATGCCTATGGAAAAAGTGCGCCGGCACACAGTGCAGTGCGCTTTAAAGGTGTTATCGTGCACTTTTCCAGCCAGGTGTTTTCCTTTTCCCATTCCTCTCTGTACTTTTGCAGCCTTTTTTTCTTTCTCTGAGCGAACAAACATTGCTGCTCCAATGCTGGGCTTACACTGTGCGATTTTTGGCCCATTTTGAGCCGATTTTTGAGTCGTGCGACCGATTTGGTGATCGGCCCGATTTTGGCCTTCATCGTGCATCGTGTAGTATACGTGGGGTAACGAGAAGCGATTAACACCTCACGACCAGCTCCCGATCATCAATCGGTCGTGAGGGTGTCAACACAGCCGCTCACGCGCTAACACGTAAACGTCGGTGAAAAAGATGGAGCAGCATGGCTGTGCGGCGTGTGATCTGGACCCAAGCGATGGAGGCACAACTTGTAGAACTTTGGAAAGCTCATCCGAGCCTTTTCGATGTGGCATCACAAAATTATCACGACCACAACAACCGTGAAAATAGTTTGATTTACACTGCTGCTTAATCACAGCTGCCTGATCAATGTTTTTCAATTTAGCAAAGTTGATGGTGGTGGGGTGTCTGTGTGAGTGAAAGACAGAGAGGGAGAGCGAGCGACAGAATTTCTGTTATAACCTTCATTTTATGGAGGCACAGTGTGAGCACTCAGGTCTCATCAGAGCATCGGGCGGTATAGTGTGAGACTCTGCATCGTGACCTACCAACTTCTAACCCCTGTGAGTCAATCATGCAGTTTGAGCAGGAGCTGAATAACGTGAATGAAAAAAAATCGCACAGTGTCTGCCCAGCTTTAGGTGTACTGTCGTCCGAGACTTGCACCGCAGTGTCAGCGTTTGTTTCCCTGTTGGCCATGCTTGTTGTTGTGGTCATCTGTTGTCTTCCGGTATTTTCTCCGCAAGCGACCTTTCCTCGACCAATGAGATAAGCGGTAATCTGAATCGTCATACTCGAATTGTCATAAGTGTGCTGTCAGCTCATTGGTCACAAAGCAGGAGAGGGGCTGGGAATTATGTTTTCAAACAAAGCGTTAATTCCATTAACATTTATAGACTACTTTTGATTCTCACTGTATTACGGGACAAAGTGCGTCCCTTATTAGCTCAATACGGGACGTGTACTTTTGTTTCTAAATACGGGACGATTCCGTTTTTTAAGGGACGGTTGGCAACCCTATCCCTGAGTGAACACGGTGTACAGATGGCTACAGACAGCAGCCTCAGAGCACCCATCTAATATGGAGACTACAAAGGCAGACAGCAGGCGCAATCCTTTGGCCACTGCCAGCTTTTTTTCAAGGGTCTTTTTGTGGTAAGTGCATTAATGAAGATATTGGATTCCTCAGCATGTTGTTAGTATATCAGTCAAAAGAAAGAAGAAAGTTTCTGCAAATTATTCCGCACTGAGTGACAGCACTTAGGCAAGGCAAGGCAAGTTTATTTGTATAGCACAATTCAACAACAAGGTGATTCAAAGTGCTTTACAGAGACATTAGAAACAAGAACAAATAAAAAGCATGATTTAAAATTGATTAAAACAAGCAAATAAACTAACTAATTAACAAACAAACAAACAAACAAAACAGTATATAAAATCAAAACAGATAAAATCAGAACAGTAGATAAAATCAGTAGTTAAATGTAAGTTTTGAAATTTAAGCTTAAAGTGTGGATTTGGTGCTTTATTCAAATGCAGCTGAGAACAGGTGAGTCTTCAACCTGGATTTAAATAAACTGAGTGTTTCAGCTGATCTGAGGCTTTCTGGGAGTTTGTTCCAGATATAAGGAGCATAAAAGCTGAATGCAGCTTCTCCGTGTCTGGTTCTGACTCTGGGAACTGATAAAAGACCGGATCCAGATGACCTGAGGGATCTGGATGGTTCATACTGGGTCAGGAGGTCATTGATGTATTTTGGTCCTAAACCATTCAGAGCTTTATAGGCCAGCATCAGAACTTTAAAGTCTATCCTCTGATGGACAGGCAGCCAGTGTAAGGACCTCAGAGCTGGACTGATGTGGTCCACTTTGTTGGTCTTAGTGAGGACTCGAGCAGCAGAGTTCTGAATGAGCTGTAGTTGTCTGACTGATTTTTTAGGTAGACCTGTAAAGATGCTGTTACAGTAATCAAGCCTACTAAAGATGAATGCATGGACTAGTTTTTCCAGGTCCTGTTGAGACATCAGATCTTTTATCCTTGATATATTCTTGAGGTGATAGTAAGCTGACTTTGTTATTGTCTTAATGTGTTTTTCTAAGTTTAGGTCTGCATCCATCACTACACCCAAATTTCTCGCCTGGTTTGTGGTTTTTAGATGTATAGATTGAAGTTCTCTGGTGACCTGTAATCGTTTTTCTTTGGCGCCAAAGACTATTACCTCAGTTTTGTTTTTGTTTAGCTGGAGAAAATTGTGGCACAACCAGTCATTGATTTCCTCAATGCATTTACCAAGAGCCTGTACAGGGCCTCGGTCTCCTGGTGACATTGTGATATATATTTGTGTGTCATCTGCATAGCTGTGATAGTTTATTTTGTTGTTGTTTATAATCTGTGCCAGTGGGAGCATGTAGATGTTAAACAGAAGGGGTCCCAAGATGGAACCTTGGGGAACTCCACATGTGATACTTGTCTGCTCAGATGTGAAGTTACCTATTGATACAAAGTATTTCCTGTTTTCTACGTATGTTTTGAACCAGTTTAGTACAGTTCCTGAAAGACCTGTCCAGTTCTCCAGTCGTTTGAGTAATATGTTGTGGTCAACTGTATCAAATGCTGCACTGAGATCCAGTAAAACTAGGACTGACATTTTTCCACTGTCTGTATTCAGACAAATGTCATTAAACACTTTGGTCAGAGCGGTTTCAGTGCTGTGGTTCTGTCTAAAACCTGACTGGAAGGCATCGTAGCAATTATTCTGTTTTAAGAAGTAACTGAGCTGTTGAGAAACTGCTTTTTCAATGATCTTACTTAAAAACGGGAGATTTGAGATCGGCCTGTAGTTGTTCATTTGTGTCTTGTCAAGATTGTCCTTTTTCAGTATAGGTTTGATTACAGCAGTTTTTAGTGATTCTGGAAACACACCTGATAATAAAGAAAAGTTGACGATCTGTAACAGGTCTGACTCTAAAGTCTTTGAGACCTTTTTGAAAAAACTTGTTGGCAGGACATCTAAACAGCAGGAGGAGGAGTTCAGTTTACCTAAGATGTCCTCCAGGTCTTTGCTGTTAATAGGTTGAAACTGTTTCATGGTGTTTAAACAGTTTTTTGGTGGACACAGTACATATCCTGGATCTGCTGTTGATGTACCAATTGCTTGTCTAATTTTTTGGATTTTTTCAGTGAAGAATTTGGCAAAGTCATTGCAGGCCATGGTCGAATGAAGTTCAGCTGCCACTGACACAGGAGGGTTTGTTAGCCTGTCAACTGTAGAAAATAAGACCCGAGCATTATGGCTGGTTTTAGTGATGATGTCAGAGAAGTAGGACCTCCTTGCATTCCTCAGTTGTAAATTATAATTGTGAAGTTTCTCTTTATAAATGTCATAATGAACCTGGAGGTTTGTTTTTCTCCATCTGCGCTCAGCTTTCCTACACTCTCTTTTTTCATTTTTCACCAGTGTGGAGTTTCTCCATGGAGACTTTTTCCTTCCAGAGATAACCTTCACCTTAATGGGAGCAATAGTGTCCATTACATTTAACATGTTAGCATTGAAGCTATTGACGAGCTCACTGACTGACCCTCTGGGCAGGTCAGGTGTTAATGGGAAGACCTGGTTAAAAATGGCACTACTGTGTTCAGTTATACACCGTTTTGTGATCACTGTTGTTGATATATTTGTGTGGGCTGAGATTTTACTTTCAAAGAAAACACAGTAATGATCAGACAGGCCCACATCAGACACAGTAACCTTTGAAATGCTCAGGCCTTTGGAGATCAGTAGGTCAAGAGTGTGTCCTCTATTATGTGTGGCCTCTGTTACATGCTGAGTCAGCCCAAAGTTGCCCAGAGTGTTACTCAGGTCTTTAGTCCCTTTGTCCTGAGGGTTGTCCACATGAATGTTAAAATCCCCAGCAATAATTACACAGTCAAAATCAACACAGATCACAGACAGCAGTTCACTGAGGTCATTAAAAAAGTCTGTGCAGTATTTGGGAGGCCTGTAAACATAACTTTGGATGGGGCCTTCAGCTGTAAAGCCACATATTCAAAAGACTGAAAACTTCCAGGAGATAGCTGCTTACATTGAAATGATTCATTAAATAAGACAGCAACCCCTCCTCCTCTCCTGCTCGCCCTGACCTCACTGATAAAACTGTAGTTAGGAGGGGTCGTCTTCGATGAGAACAGCTCCACTGTTACTTTGGTCCAACCAAGTTTCAGTTAAAAACATAAAATCAAGGCTGTGCTCAGTGATTAAATCATTAATTAAAAATGTTTTCCCAGCTAGAGATCTAATGTTTAATAAAGCCAACTTAAGTGTTTTAGAGGTATTACTTGTCCCCTCGTGTTTGGGAGCAGTCTGTGGCACACAAGGTATGTTTACTATGTTTAAAGATCTTTTAGAGTGCAGCTCTCTGTGTTTTGACCAGGCCACATGTCTCCTGTCACCTAAAAGTACAGAAATTTTAAAACCTTCTAGTAAACAGGGTCCCAGCTTCTCCTGGGAAAAGTCATCACTGCCATAATCCTCACAGCCCGGACCCTTCACACATCACGCATCAGACTGCGGAGACAGGGCATGAAGAGGAACTAAGGGGGCGAGGCTGGGCAATGTGACTTCGATTGCTCTGTTGAGGGTGGGGCTCGATGGCGAACCTTTGGCCGCTCTGGTGGGGGTTTATGGGGGACAAAAAGGGATTGGGACGGGGGGTAGATCTGAGCCCAGCATTGACCCGCTCCATCATCTCCTCAGTGAATTTCAGGTGTGGGGAGGAGGGAGAAAGGGAGGGGGAGGAGGGTGATGGCCTGTCAGGGGTTTGGGGGACTGGGGAAGGTCGTGGTCCCTTGTCCTGGTCGTTGGTGTTGTTGAGAGAGTTGGAGGCAAATAGGGACCCCTCTTCTTGCCTTAGATGTCTCTCCTTTCTGAGGCTCTTCCTCAGATGCCATGGATGTCTCTCCTTTCTGAGGCTCTTCCCGGGTGGGGGCAAATGGAGCTCCTCCTCAAGGTTTCTGCTGGGCTTTGTCTGTTCTTGGAGTACTGTTTGTTCCTCTTTATGAGATAACTCCTCGTTTATCTCAGCCTTGGCACCAAGCACGGATGGATGACGTATGGAATAAAACAAGTTGGAGGTGAACAGTTTCACCCCTGACTTGTTAAAATTAAATCCATTTGCTTTGAACAGATGCCTGCGTTCCCAAAAAATATTAAAGCGTTCCGTCTGAAATGGGAATAAAGTTATATCATAGAGATGAATCGGAATCTAGGAGCGAAGAGGGAATTTTTATTTTTATTTTTGTGTACTCAGTAACGACTAGAAGACTCGGGTAACAAGTAACTGAGAAATCAAATAGGTTAGAACTTAAAGGGCTTGCGGATCTTTTGATCTTTTTAAAGTGGGCTTTTAAAAAAGGCCCGTTATATCTACAGGGAGAGTGTAAGTCAATCGTTCTATAAATGTCAAATGTAAACTGTCCATATTCCATAGGTGACTGAATATAGGCTTCCCCTTCGCATAGGGGCTTGTACATATTGTACATAACAAATATGTGTCAGTTACTTAAAGAACATCACGTGATATATCCCCTACGGGCATTCCGATGTACGTCTTGGTCTAGTCCCAATGTGCAAACTGATGCTCCCACAAAGTCTGAGGCTCTCAAGTATTTTTGAAAAGCTTTCATGCAAATAGAAGTTAAAACACGTTCTTTATTGCACATCTAGTTTAATCAGCCGTTTCTTTTTATTGGAGAAAACTGATGAGACTATTGCAATGAGCTCACTAAGTGACTTCAGTGAACTCTGTAAGGCTTTACAGAGAAACAAACCAGGGCTCTCTCTCGTTTCACAGACGACATTTAACATGTTTAGCAGTCACAGCAAGTATTCCTATTTGCTCGGAAGATGAAGGCGAGGCCAGAGCAGCTGTTTGCTATCTGCAACTTCACCACTAGCTGCCCTAAGTCGTACACACTGCTTTTTTAAAGGTTTATATATAGACTATATAGAAGTGGGTGTAGTCATTCGTTTCTCTGGACTGCAGTGTGAAGTCAGCGTATGCAGATTGATTCATTCCCACAGCCAGCCTCAAAGAGCTGTCTTTTTCTTTCAGCACCAGTTGCTTTCCTGTGCTTATTAGTTATTCATACACTGATCATCATCACTTGCTTGTTAATTCAAGAAGCTGGATACCTGTGAATTTACATTGTAATTTTAAATGTTCTTCCGGGACTGTGGCCAATATTTGATGTGTGAACAGCATTAGCTTTAAGAGATCCTCCAAGTCCATCACTAGAAACACTGTTTCTCCAAATAACTCATTAAGCACAAATAGTTCAGACATTCACAGTCAGCTTAGATATGTCTTTTCTAAACCACAGTGATTTGTATTTTTCTCTGCCAGATGGAAATGGTTTGTTTTTTTCTGTTTCAGTTGGTTAAACCCCCTGTTACAGCTTGGCCAAAAACACAGGCTCGAGAAAGGTGACATGTACAGTGTCCTTCCGGAGGATCTGTCTGAAACCCTGGGAGAGGAGCTGCAGAGGTACTTCAGCAAAAGGCTAATGTGACAAAACCAGAAGTGGTGCTGGTTAAGAAACATGTCTGTTTGTTTCAAGTTAATGTTTTATTTTTTTATAGTGTGGATTGCCATTCTGTCAACCTGCCACTGCTTGTAATATCAAGTGCTTTCGAGGGTCTGATAATTGTGTTACTGACCTGCTGCTAATTAACCTAATTAGCCTCAAAGTCCTCCAGTTGTTTCTTTTTAGTGCCACTTACCTTTGCAGCCTTCTCTTGCCCTGTCCCAACTTTGTGAGATATGTTGCTGCCATCAAATTTCAATGCAAATAATTTTCATAAAATAGTAAAGCACCTCTGTTGGAAATGTGTTTATAAATCCTGGGCTCAACTAATAAATTCATTTGATTTGCAGATGTTGGAACGAGGAAGTAAAAAAGGCTTCAAAGGAACTATGGAAGCCGCAGCTCTCCAGGGTTCTTATAAAGTGCTATGGAAAGTCCTATGCATTAGCCGGCCTATTTGAATTTTTTCTGGTATGTTGTGAATATTTACAATTGGCACCAGTGTTAAAACAATCATTCATGCACAGGTCGTATTTGAGATTTTGTGCGGTTTTCTGGCCATATTATTTCAGATGAGCTAAAATAAAAAGGAATACTGTAGTTTTACTGTATTATTGTATTACTAGCAGATATTTGAACCAATTTACCACATCCAGTACTAGTAATGGATAGAGTGAAGCTTGTTTGCATATTCCATTATGTATTTATTGTCTTTGTCGTAAAGGAGGCAATCAAAGTGATCCAGCCACTTCTTCTGGGAAAAATAATCCTTTTCTTTGAGAATTATCACCCAGATGATCAGAGGAGTCTTTGCATGGCGTATGTTTACGCTGCTGCGATGTCCATCTCCACGTTTGGACTGACTATCCTCCAACATCTCTACTACTATCATGTCCAAAGAACAGGCATGAGGATTAGAGTGGCTATGTGTCACATGATCTACAGGAAGGTCAGTGAAGATTCAGAAAATTTGCACAAGAGATGCAAATTTTTGAGCTCACAACTCTCAGAATAATTTTGTAAATTTTTCAAGCTGTTAAGTAAAAATGTTCTCATCAGGCTCTTGGTCTCAGCACTGAATCCATCGGACGAACAACCACCGGTCAAATAGTGAACCTACTTTCAAATGATGTTAATCATTTTGATGAGGTAAGGCAACAGATGACCTAAATTTGTAAGGGTCAAGAACCAACTTGAAACTACATTTGGAGAATTGTAACCGAGACAACAGAAGGACAGAGGGTTAACCTGGATGTACCCTTTGAAACCTTTTTTCATTAGGTATTTGAGTAGATGGGTATTTGTGGTAAATACAGGGTTTTTTTTAGATATTATTTAAAAGTTACTACACTAACTTGCCACAGGAGAATGATAAAGATGAAAAATCTGAACTCTTGACCCTCTGCTTGATGTTATACACTCAACAAAAATATAAACGCAACACCTTTGTTACTGCTCCCATTCCCCATGGGATGGACGTAGAGACCTAAAATTCATTCCAGATACACAATATAACCATCCCTCCCAAACAGTGGTCACAAATCAGTCCAAATGTGTGGTAGTGGGCACATCTGCTATATTGAGATAATCCATCCCACCTCACAGGTGTGCCACATCAGGATGCTGATCTGACATCATGAGTAGTGCACAGGTGTACCTCAGACTACCCACAACAAAAGGCCACCCTGGAATGTGCAGTTTTTTGCGCTATTGGGGGTCTGGGGACCCAGAACCGGTCAGTATCTGGTGTGACCACCATTTGCCTCATGCAGTACAACACATCGTCACATGGAGTCTATCAGATTGTCAATTGTGGCCTGTGAAATGTTGGGCCACTCCACTTCAATGGCTGTGCGAGGTTGTTGGATATTCGTGGGAACTGGTACACGCTGTCGTATACGCCGGTCAAGCACATCCCGAACATGCTCAATGGGTGACATGTCCGGTGAGTATGCTGGCCATGCAAGAACTGGGACATTCTCAGCTGCCATCTGCCCTGAACAATGTGAACCATGATTCATCCGTGAAGCGCACACCTCTCCAACGTGCCAGACGCCATCGAATGTGAGCATTTGCCCACACAAGTCTGTTACAGCGACGAGCTGGAGTCAGGTCAAGACCCCGATGAGGACGACGGGCATGCAGTCAAGCGTCCCTGAGACGGTTTCTGACAGTTTGTGCAGAAATTGTTTGGTTGTGCAAACCAATTGTTCCAGCAGCTGTCTGGGTGGCTGGTCTCAGACGATCTTGGAGGTGAACCTGCTGGATGTGGAGGTCCTGGGCTGGTGTGGTTACACGAGGTCTGCGGTTGTGAGGCCGGTTGGATGTTCTGCCATATTCTCTGAAACGCCTGTGGAGACGGCTTATGGTTGAGAAATGAACATTCAATGCACGGGCGACAGATCTGGTTGACATTCCTGCTGTCAGCATGCCAATTGCACGCTCCCTCATTGCTTGTGGCATCTGTGGCATTTTGCTGTGAGACAAAACTGCACATTCCAGGGTGGCCTTTTGTTGTGGGCAGTCTGAGGTACACCTGTGCACTACTCATGATGTCAGATCAGCATCCTGATGTGGCACACCTGTGAGGTGGGATGGATTATCTCAATATAGCAGATGTGCCCACTACCACACATTTGGACTGATTTGTGACCACTGTTTGGGAGGGATGGTTATATTGTGTATCTGGAATGAATTTTAGGTCTCTACGTCCATCCCATGGGGAATGGGAGCAGTAACAAAGGTGTTGCGTTTATATTTTTGTTGAGTGTATATAGGGCAGGGAAGAGGTCTGGAAGTGTCAATATAAAGCAAATCAATACAAAGTTGTCCAGAGAGATCACATTTATTGTATGACGAAACATTTCTGTCCACTTCCAGGATTACAGCACACCATCTATAGAGCATAAGGTCTGGCGAGTCCCTGTTCAGACGGTGGCATCACAAGATGACTGATTTTGAGCTAATACAAGACCTCACAATAACTTCTAATCAATGAGATTGACTGAGAGCAAACCTTCAACTGATAGCTAGCTATGTCATAAGGATGTATATAGGCAATTTTTGTATGGGTAGGACAATTAAGTTTACTTTTGTCTAATTCACAGGAAGTTGTTTTCAAAAATATTAGGCAGGCATCTGAATAAAACATCTGTACTTCCACAAATGAAACATGCTCATCCACCCTGGTTAACTGCAGTCAGGCATTAAAAGCAAGTCTCTGCGGCTATTTTGTTAATGCCACAAAGGAATCATTTTTGGGATAGCTTAAAGCCTGACACGACTGATTAACATGTGAGGGTGATTGCAGTCACACGAGAATCACAAGCATCTTAAAGCTGTTCTATCGGCATGTAGTTACCCAACACTTTATTGAGTATTCCTAAAATTTGTTGACCATTAGCACATTTCTCCAAATCTTGGGCATCTATGTTTGCTTACATTACAGGCCCCTTATGGTGACTGACAGTTTTATCCAAGTTGTGACCGCCACTTCCAAATGTCACACACTTTTCAAAATGTCATTTATAATGACCTCTACAGATTACACTCAGACTGCACTACTTGTGGGCGGGACCTCTGCAAGCAATGGTGATCATCGTTTTCCTTTGGTATGAGATCGGCCCCTCGTGCCTGGCAGGTGTGGCAACAATTGCAGTTATGATGCCGATACAGACCTGGTTTGGAAAACTCTTCGGCATCTTCAGGTAAAGGATAACTGGAGAAGTACATGGATCTTTCAATCTATAGACCTCTCAACGTCCAGCAAGAAACAAGACCCGACTGCAGGACTCATAGGCAAATTGGGCAAATGTAAAACACACCTTTTTATTAAAGTAGAAGCCCGATGTTCACAAGCTCCAAAATATCCACACACAAAAAAGACTAATCCAGGAAATTCCAAAACCCGAACTGAGACATACAAAGGTGGTTAAACAGGCAGACTGCCAGACTTCTTCTTGGATTTTAGACACAAAGGTGCATTGCTGCCCTCCTCTGGTACTTCGTAAACCAAGGAGGTCAAACTCATTTTACCTTGAGGGCCACATACAACTTACTTTGATCTTAAGCAGGCTGGACGAGTGGCGCTGTGATTTTTCTTTTCTAAAGAAATGTTGCTGTAGTAAATGAAAGACATGTTCGCACAAATTCAATTGTAAGAAATGTTTGAAATTACACAAAATGTTCTGGTAGCTCATTGCCCAGACTCTCCTGTAATTATAAAGCAGGAAGTGTTTGTTAATACACAGAAAACTTTCTGTTTCTCTTGTTTTCTTACTGTGGGCACATTATTTTACCGAACTTCTGCAGAGTTCTTCCCAACTCGGTTTCAATTATAGAAAGATTGGCACAGTCAAAAGTCCTCCACTGACATCTCAACTCTCAACAAATTTCCCAAAATACTCTCTGTGTAACTTTTTTTTTTTTTTGGCTTTTAGCCTTTTGTGCTGTATCCATTTTGAGTTTTTAACCTCAGCATGCTAAGTGCACAGCTGATCATCACACCACTGTGACAAAAACTACTTTTTTTTGAGTTGTTGCATTTCATGAAGAATGTAGATTTATATGATCTCTCTAAAGAGTATGAGCTCTATTACCTGATCGAAGTGTGTTTAAGGTTCTGTATAATCAGTCTGTATCAGTAATGACCTTCATCGTAGCCTTAAGGATTGTCCTATGTTAATTTTTTTCTTTGGGTCAGATGAGTAAGTGATGGATGGAGGGAATTTTACTGCAGTCATAGAAATCCTAAACCTTGTTGCTTTGGCATTAGACACATTTGATGCATACAAACCCACACATAAACTCCTCTGTAGGACTCCCATTTTTAACTTTAGTGTATTTTATGTCCACCTAGATAACTAGGGAATGTTAAAGCTGATACTGAAGCCATGCAAATATTTTGCAAGACCGGAGCTAATGTAGAAATCAGACAGGAAACACCAGGGAAACAAGACACAGCTGAAACTAATCAGATGATTACAAAAGAAAGTAAAACTAAATACAAGACCCAAGAAACAAATGACAACCAAAATAAAACAGGGAATGAATAACCGAAACACTCAATATGACAAACTAAAAACAAGGAGAGGAAATAAGGGAACAAGAGCCAACAAGAATGAATCAAAGAAAATCAAACGATGAAGAACAACCCAACCAACAGAAATAGAAACTTGAACTAAAAAGATTCGAACTAAGAACTAAATGTTCCCTATGAATCTAAAAACATTTTAAAACAAGTTCCAAACTCTGAAACCCGAGTCCAAACCCAGGACCATGACAGGGCCTGTTTAACAATGTTCAATGACTGTGTCTATTTTCTCATGCACTAATATGTTATTTATAATGTATCATTAGGAAAACTAGCGGCCTCAATGACATGTTGTGGAGTTTTTTGTTGTTGTTTTTTGGCAGGAGCAAAACAGCAGTCCTTACTGACAGCAGAATCCGTATCATGAATGAAGTGGTGTCTGGCATAAGGATAATCAAGATGTATGTCTGGGAGAAATGGTTCTCAGCCCTGGTGACTGAAGTTAGAAAGTAAGGATGAGAATCACAGACAAACTGGTAATGTTTTGACACGAATCATTTTCTGAACCAGCAGAATACTACTGCATATATTATCCTTTTTTGGTACCCCTCTCCATCATCAACTGATTTAGCCCTCAGCTCTGACAGGCTCACGGGGTATTGTCGTCAAAACACAGGGAGGACGACAATACCAAGTTTGTGAATGAACTCCAGAATGAGGCGACATAGGATTTTCAAATTCAGACCAATGATGCACCTACTAGAAATCTCAGATAAGTTCAAATCCCGCTGACCTTAACCCCAAGGTCAGAGGTTAACTTTTCTGAAAATCACTTAGGATTTCCACGTTTTTCACATAGGTGCAAATGCTACAACTCTTACATAAATCCTCCTTTTGCAACATGTTTACATTTTATGTTTGCTTGTCTTTTCTTCAATTTGTGAAAAAGTTTATATTACTACTTTTTTTTCTGGGGTGTTCTTAATTGGTACTGTTGTCCTCCTGCTGAAACTCATATCAAGAGTGATCCCTAAACTCAGTGGGAGGTTTGGATCCTGCTGTATTGGATAACCAAGAGTACTTAGACAGAACTTATGCAGGCACAGGGAGAACATGGGAATTCACAAAAAGCTACACTCTGACTTTTCTTTCCTTTTTCCTTCATAACTTAAAAATTAAATATATAATTACTGTCATAGACATATCAAAGTGAAACCGATGTTGCTCAACATCCTGCCAAATTTAAACTTAAAACTTTGCTTCAACTATGTAATCCATCTACATATGTTCTCTTATGTTTGTAGGAAAGAAATCAGTCGGATATTAAAGAGCTCCTACCTACGAGGACTCAACATGGCTTCCTTCTTTGCCAGCAGCAAGCTCATAATCTTTGTTACCTTCACGGTCTACACTCTTTTGGGGAACACCATGACTGCCAGCCAGGTGTTTGTCACCATGTCCCTGTATGGTACAATTAAGGTCACCCTGACCCTGTTCTTTCCTCTGGCCATTGAGAAGTTGTCAGAGACTGTAGTGAGCATTCGCAGGATTAAGGTAATTAATTTCTGTCATAAACTGTAGGAAAAGTTGGCAATCCAGTAGTCATGTCCAAGATAGTCAAACAATTTCCAAAGCTGGTGTAAAACCATGTTTATCATTTTCCCAGAATTTTCTCCTACTGGAAGAGATTGAGAGAAAAAACATTATGTTGCCTTTGGCGGAAAAGGGGGGAAACTCTATTGAGATCGAGAAACTGACCTGCTACTGGGATAAGGTAAATAGTGTAATATATTTCGTAGCGGTGTAACATATTGTTGTAGAACAATGACTGTTCCTGCAAACTTTATAGTTTGATGTAGTACTTACTGCCATTTTTGTCTTTGTTTAGAGTTTGGATGCACCATCTCTTCAGAATGTTTCCATCACAGCAAAGTCACATCAACTTCTGACTGTAATCGGACCAGTGGGGGCCGGAAAGGTCAGTAAACTTGTGTAATCTATTTTAGCATCCACCCTAAGATTATAGGAGTCTTTAACCTAACGGTTTATTACCGGATTCTTATACGCTGCTCAAAAAATAACCACTTTAATAACATATCAGATCTCAATGGGGAAAAAAATCATCATTACTGATGTGCACTGAGTAATATGTTAGGTGGTGCAACCTGGCAACATTGGATGAACTGAAACATAATGTCCCACAGGTGTTCTATTGATTTAGGTCAGGTGAGTGTGGGGGCCAGTCAGTGGTATTAGTTCCTTCATCCTTCAAGAACTGCCTGCATACTCTCGCCACATGAGGTTGGACATTGCTGTGCACCAGGAAGAATCCAGGACCCACAAGCATATGGTCTGATAAAGTTCAAGGACTTTATTACAATATCTATTGAAAGTCAGGGTGCCGTTGCCTAGCCTGTAGAGGTTTGTGCATCCCTCTATCAATATGCCAGTGACTCACCACCAACCCAGTCATGCTGAATGATGTTACACAACATACGTTTTTCCACGACTTCTCCAGACCCTTTCAGTTCTGTCACATGTGCATGGGTTAAGCTTGCTTTCATCTTTGAAAAGCACAGGGCGCAAGTGGAGGACCTACCAATTCTGGTATTCTATGGCAAAGGTTAGTTGGGTTCCATGGTGCTGGGTGGTGAGCACAGGGCTTACCAGAGGGCACTGGGCTCTCTGGCGCCATTATTGTCATTTTTATAGGGTTTTGGCAGTGATCATCCAGTTTCCTTTTGTAAAACGGAGCAGATCCCAGTCCTGATGATGGGTTAAGGGCCTTCAACAGCCTTGTCCAGGTCTCCTAGAACATTTTCTTGTCTCCTGGAATTTCATTTACCGTTTTACCATGTGGGAGATGGACTACCTGTGCAATCTCTGTAGGGTCCAGGTATCGACTAACAACCCCCTCTGCTATTTGACTGATCACATCAATATCCCAAAAGTTTAACTGACTAGTTGACAGACTAGTTACACAATATGGGATCAACAAGAAACGAATTTTGGAATATCAACAAATTAAATCCATAGTAAAAAAAGAAATTTAATCCCAGTGAAGCTGAATTACAAACACCACCAACTGTGGTACAATTTTTTAGTCTAAAACCCCCAAATCATTGTCTAAAATATACAGAACACTTTCTAAAATAGATGAATCAATATCCCTTCCTATTGCAAAATGGGAACCAGATTTATCAATCAACTTAGACCCAAACCTTTGGTCTCAGATATCCTTAAAAACCTTTCAATGGATCAGAAATCCCAGTTTGCAATTAATACAATACAAAATATTACACAGAGTGCACTATACTGGTCATAGGATGTTCAAGATGGGCTATACGCCTTCCAACAACTGCTCACACTGCACAGCAAATACAACGGACAATTACATCCACGCTCTTTGGTTCTGTCCACCAGTTCAGAAATTTTGGCGTGAGATATGTGTAGACTTATCAAAGTGTCTGAAATGTAACATTCCAGCCTCCCCTTTAATATGCTTGCTGGGCAACTTGGATGAGGTCACTGCAGAAATAAACACAGCCCACGTTGTTTTTACGGCCCTATGCATTGCCAAGAAAATGGTCCTCATTAACTGGAAAAATAAAAATAATCTTAATTCTAACCAATATAAAAACCATCTAATAGATCACATTAGTCTTGATACAACCTCTGCCATCACATTTGATCAATCCCTTTGGGCTCCTTTGATCGGCTTCATCACCTAGTGGGGGTGGGGGTCATGGTTTGGTCCTGCCTTCGCTATTGTAGTTGATATGGGGGTAGGGACGGCCTTAGGGTGTCTGGGGAGTCCCTAGGGATGTTTCCCTGGAGGGCCTAACCTGGGGGATGTGACCATGACCTGGTTAGGAGCTCTGGGGCTCTTGGATGGTGTTTTCCTTGTGGCTGCGTACAGCGGAGATGGGAGAGGGTCTGTGCTGGCGGACGTTGGTTACTGGCCTGGTAGCCTGGCTGCCCCTGGGAGGGTCCGGGACGGGCGTGGAGGCTTGGGGGTCTGGGGGTGCTCCGCCCCCCGGTCTGGGGTGCTGGCCGGGCCTTGGGGCTTGGGTCCTGGCTGTTGTGTCGCCGGAGCAGTGGGCGGGTGGGTGCAGGGGGGCTCGGCCCCAGTGCAGGGGACCTCTGGTGCATCGGCCCAACTAGGGGCTCTTTAACTGGTGGGGAGGTTGTTATATCTTTGCAGGTGGTCTCCTCACTACAGGAGCTCACTCTGCAGGTGGGGGGGGGGGGGGGGGAGAGATTTAGGAGAGGTGGAGAATGAACTCAACCTGGGTATCTATTGTCTTGTGTAGTTTGGGAGATGATTGGATGATGGGGTGGGTGCAGTTTTCTCTGGGGTGGAGTCAGGAGGGCTGCCCCAGACTCTGTGGGGCTGGGCGGTGCTGCTGCTGCGGGCCCCGGTCCGGATGGGCCTGGGCCCCCTTGCCCTGGTGGGTTCCAGAGTGTGGGGGTGCCTACTGGGGTCAGCGGGGGAGCTGGCCCCAGGGAGGGGCCACTTGCCCCTCCCTTTCTTCCCTCCCCATCCTCAGCTGCCTCCCTATTCCCGCTCTACCACACCCACCCACACACGCAGGGCTTGGGGTGCAGGTATGTCACCAGGGTGCAGGGGAGGCACTCCCTCTCTGTCCCCTTCTGGCCGCCTGTGCCTCAATTTTATTCTGCAACCTAGACATCCACATTACTCACACTCTCACATAACACATACATATAGGGCCTTGGGGGTGGGCACGTTTTACAGCATCCAGAGGATGGTTGGTGTATTCCAACCCACCTCGGGCGCTGATGCCCTACCCTCAATTTTAAATGTATTTAGACACTAAGGGTTTTCGGGAGGAGCCGTGCTGCTCTCTGAGAGGAAGCTAGTACCATGCTCTCCTGAGTTTTAAATGCACTTTAGAACAGCACACAGCAACACTACATATGAGCGGGCGTAGGGAGGTTTGAGGTCTTCACTCACCCCGGTTCTGTTGGCCGTCAGGGCTGGGGGGCTGGGAGGAGGTGCTGGCCGTCAGACTGGGGTCTGGGATGCGGGGCCTCCCTGCTACTGCAGATAAGGAGGTGGTCCGCTTGCCTCCACCCCAGAGAGAAGGGTTACATCTCCTGGGTCTAGGTGCGGCTTGCCCCTCTGAGGGCGGGGGTACCTGGACCTGGGATATGGAGTATGTTTGGGGAGTGCGACTGTCTGTGTAGTGTCTATTTGTGTCTGTCTGCACGTTAGGTAAGTGCCGAGTATTTGGTTGTGCATATGGGGTGGGAATGCACGTTTGTGTCCGCGTGCGCCTGTTCGTCTGTGTCTATATGTCAGGTTGGGTCTTAGACTCAACCTCTCTGGGTAGATCTCAGGCCCTCTAAAGTACGGAGGCCTATCTCCCCTCACCACACTCCCTGCCGGTGGCTGATGCCCTCAGACCTTGGTGTGTTGGTGGTCCTTGTCGTCTGGGGCTGGGCACTCATGTATGTACCGGCTCACTCCTGGTGGCCGATTGGTGGGACCTGGCGCCTGTGGCCCGGCTGGGCCCCTTCCGGGGGGTGGGATGCCCTCAGGCCTCTGGCCTCTGGGCCTGAAGCTCGGTCCTCTCTGGCACAGCTGGCTGCCGGCAGAGCCCGCGGGCACGCCACTGCAACCCCCTCTGGCCTCTGCTCCGTAGCTGCTGGATGACCTCTCGTTTGGGGCTCTACTCAGCTCTTCCCAGGAGGGTGGCACGGTTCCCCCCTTTTGGTGGTTCTCCTCGGGTCCTTGTACTCTGGGGCCTCTGGATATCTGGGGCCTGGATCTCCTCCATACCTGCTTCATACCCTGGTGGACGGGGCTATGGCTCCCCACACTCCCTAGCAGATCGTTACATGGAGAAACCTTTGGAATACAAGCATGCTGATCCACACAGGTATGCACACAGGTGTACACACGGGTATTCACAGACACGGACTACACCTTTCTTGGCTGCTGCCTCAAAGCACATTGTGTGCTGTCTATCTTGCGTGCTGCACAATATCATTTAATATTTAGTATCTACTGTTATCTACAGCTAGCTAGTTTATTGTGATGGTGCTGTTTTTATTATGTTGCTCTTTTTTTGTTTGCTTTCTCTTCTGTTTTTTTTTCTTCATACAGGTGATCCAGGTGTTTTGTTTGTTTTTCTTTCTTTCTTCCCCCCTTTCTCACCGTCTCTTCTCCCCTTTGGTTTTCTTTCTCTCCCTCTCTTTCTTTCATTCTTTCTCCCTGTCCTATCCCCCAGTCATGTCTGTCCCGTTTATAGCAACCGAAAATAAAATAAATTCATATGGACCAATATGGCAAGGCCATGATGATCCACTTGGTAAAATAAATCCGCTTGGCATCTTTCTTGGCCTTAAAACAACAATTCTGATGGCTAAAGATCCAAACGGGACACGAAAAAAAAAAGTTTAACTGACTCGACTTTATTTAAAAAACATCCTTTAATTCTTTCTTTTAACAGTGTGCTTGATTTCATTTGTAAAAGAGTGGAGGTTTTTTCCTTTTTTTTCTGTTTTGTTTTTTTCTGTTACTGCATAGAGTCCTATGAAATATGTGGCCCATGATTCAGTACCTTGTACATTCACATTTAGCAAAAGTAGCTAAAGATCAGCTAAATCTGATCTGTATGACTTTATCAGTCATTATTCAGTTTATTCAGGTTTAGAGGCATATGTTTATACACAGCTCTTTTATGGTTCTGCCAAGGTGTTTGAGTTGTGTTGAGGTCCAGAATTTGTCTGGGCCATTGCACCATAGCAACTTGGAAACAAAGTGCTAAACCATTGCAGTATTTGTCACTGACAAAAAAAAAAAAAAAATGCAATTTACCCAGCTTACATGCATGACATCCATGTTTTCCTCAGTCATCCCTGCTAAGTGCAATCCTGGGAGAGCTTCCTCGTGATACAGGCACACTGAAGGTCAAAGGTCAGCTAACCTACGCATCCAGCAACCGTGGGTGTTCCCTGGAACCATTCGCAGCAACATCCTTTTTGGGAGAGAACTTAACCCAAAGAAATATGAGCAGGTCCTTAGAGCCTGTGCTCTGAAGAAGGTGAGCTAATGTGTTCTATCAAAACGGAATATTGTGTTCATGACAATGTAGAAATACTACTTGAAAAACTATGACTGAAAAGCTTCTAAAGCCTGAACTACTACGTGGATTTCATGGACCCGGACTTTACAGAGAAGCAGATGCATGTCCACAACTCAGGCTTCTTCTAGTCATGATTCTGGGTTTTGTACCCAGCGTTTTTCAGCTTTGGAATCTCAGTCTTCAGTTTGATATTTTCTGTATGACCTTGTTGTAATTTTCTGTTGAATATTATGTTTGCTTGGGTTGTGTTTTAATTCTGATTTTATGTTTTGTATTCATAGTTTCTTTGTTAGTTATTCTCAGGTTTTTCCTTTCCTCTTATGTTTTTAATGCCTAGTCTGCATTTCGATCATTAATACTTGTCCTGGAATCTCTATCTGTGCTTATAGTACAGGATAGCCTATTTTGCTAATATTCTGAAGAACAAAACCAAACTGCCAATATTTATCAAATGACTAAAATGTTCCCCTATTTTTGGCATTCACATTTATTTTTGTTACACGTACATTTTGTGCAGGACCTGGAGATGTTCCCAGATGGAGACTAACACTGATTGGAGACAGAGAGCCACACTCAGTGGTGGACAGAAAGCTCGTGTAAACCTGGCGAGGTACGACAACAGTCACAGCAGTTATGTCATTGTTATGCACAGGAGAGAAATCCATTTTTAGTATAATCCTCAACAGATTTGAATTCCTTCTCTGAGTTATTAGGCAGCCTAAAATAGAGGCAGCAATAACCTATATGTTCGGCAATTTTTTTAAACCTCCAGTATGCACACTACTGTGCTATAGTTTTCTACTTCACATGCCATAATCAAAGCCCTTTTTTTTTACAGGCTGTGTATGAGGATGCAGACATCTACCTCCTGGATGACCCTTAAGTGCTGTGATGCAGAAGTTGGAAAACATCTTTTCGACAAGTAATGACTGCTCACAATATCTGTGTCCCAAAGAGATACCCATATGTATCATACACATGAAGTATAGTATATTCTACATGCTACATATCTCTGTTTATAAAACGAAGAATTATTAATTGTAGGTTAGATTATTTCAATTCAACACCGGTCATTTCATGGCACTTTATACTGTAAAGTAAAACCCAACAATTACTATCACTGATAAACTTAGAAGTGGATTATTATGCTCACATCGAGCCATGATTTTATTTAGTCACTGCATGAATGGCATTCCAAATAAGCATTATTAACTGTTACCAGTCCTTTTAAAGCCTCTCAGTTGACACAGAGATAAGGAGAAAAGCCATAAAGATTCTTTAAGTACATACTGCTGAGGTAATGCACACAGATCCTTTTCTGCTCTATCACAGCCACAGAACTTTTGCTTTTTCCCCCTGTAGAATATATTTTCTGCCACAACATCCTGTTTGACCTTTAAATGTTCTCTTACTCAAATTTACACAAGTCAGCTATAAAGGTGTTCATATTCCAATATTGTAATCACTTTAAACAAACGCAAACAATGAATCTGGATCTTGAGGACTGAGCTCGCATTACACAGCTGCGTTGTGTCGTGCAGTATGGACCTATATGAGATTTTTAAAAGGAGAAAAGTTCCACTTCTTATTTATGAAATGTGTACACCTGTCTGTGCTTATGATCAGGTGTATCTGTGGCTTGCTGAAGAACAAGTGTCGTATCCTGGTCACACATCAGCTGCGACATCTGAGGGAAGTTGACCAGATCCTGGTCCTGAAGGAGGTTTGTACTCCTGCAAAAGAAAATTGCTTGAAGGAAGCCTGCCTCCTGCTTCTTAACCATGCCATTGCAATAAATAAAGCATTCCCACAGCAGAATCCTGCCTAGTCGGTCAGACTTGGCCTGACATGGTGACAATAACCTGATCAGCTGCGACATTAAAACCACAAAAAAGGTTCTCACCCATTCAGTAATGAACCTGGGCTGTTTATGTCACAGTATGGCTGCCGACGGACAGCCGACTGTGAGGAGTGAGGACGTGGAAGTGCAGACATGCAAAGAGACAAAACTTGAGCATAACAAAAATGAGCTGTTTATTAAGGCTGGCAAAATGGTACAAAACAAAAGGCAAAGACGAAAGTAAACAATAACCTAAACTGGGTGAACTAAGATTAAAACATGACCTCACAAACCTTGAACATTTAGACCTGGCATGGATTCCTAGAAAAACCTGGAAACATGACATGAACATAGCAGACGACCACCCACTGGAGGTGATCAGGGGAAGTGGAAACACATAGGGACACAGCTGACACAAATTAACATGTCACAGGGGAAGAGCAAAACTAAACACGAAGAACATGGGACACCAGACCTCTTCAAAATAAAATGGGAAACATAACGAGACACAGACGTGACAACACAAGCTTGACAACATAAGAAACGCAGATATGAAACACATGAGGGGTGAGGGAGACTTAAAAACAGGGGTGAAGACGCAAGGGGAATCTAATAAACAGTGAACTGTAACGGCAACCTATGCACAATAGAATT